AACTCCACATTGAGACCTGAATTTTTACCGAGGCAAATTAGCCCAGTTCACCAGATTTTGTACAGTTCCAAATCAATGGTTTTGAAAGGTGTGTAGGTTAAGATAAATCAATATTGGTTTTTTAACTTTATTATACCGAAGAGGATTTATTTAAATGTTGCTGTACTTTGAAATTGATGAAAATGTTCTTTTGTTTTCCATAGAAACGTTCCAGAGGTCAAATATTGTTTGACAAAGTATGTGAACATCTAAATCTTTTGGAAAAGGACTACTTTGGGCTAACATACAGAGACATGGAAAACCAAAAGGTAAAAAAAGACACATCAGCCAGGGTTTTCTTGAATTAAAAGGAAGTAGAATGAAAGTCAACAGAACTGGAATCTTGCTAACTGGCATTGATCTTGAGTTTGCATGGGATAAGATATGTGGCCATCAGATTTTTTTTCCCGGTGATCAATCCAGAACTGATGTTTTAGTTTTACCTCCAAAAGGATGCATCTTTATTTAATGCCATCTCCTTTTTAATTGTTTGTGCCTCCCAAGAACAGGAACAATGTTCTCCTGTCTTCCTTTTGCCTTAGAATCATAGAATCATAGATTATTAGGGTTGGAAGGGACCTCAGGAGGTCATCTAGTCCAACCCCCTGCTCAAAGCAGGACCAATCCCCCAAATCCCCAAATTGCCCCCTCAAGGATTAAACTCGTAACCCTGGGTTTAGCATGCCAGTGCTCAAACCACTGGTTATTTATGATGTAAGAGAAGTTAATCATGTAGCTTTTCTCGTATGGTTTGTTCCAATACTGCCTTGAAAGTCCGATTTACATTCATAAATATATTTTAATACTAAAAACAGTTTATTTAATGTTAAGGTTGTGACACAGACAGGCAGAAGTTAATTCACTATTGCTGCTAATTCCCTTTCAAGACTCATGTTATCTTTACCTGAGCATTATTGCTCAATTAGTACTGGGATATGATGATCTATGATCCATGCAACATACACATTGTACACACATTAAGATGAGATAAGGAGCAGCAAAGGACCCTCTAAATATTTCTTTAAAGTATTTTGTTAACTCCCTTTTGATATGTCTTAGTTAAAATGTGTATTATAAAAGAGTCCCCTAACAGGTTTTCATATAAGTATGTGATGGTTTTCTCTCTTAGAGAGAACTCTTACTTTCTATATTTATGGACTTTTTAAAATGAGGATTTTGGCACTGATGCAAAAAGCAATTAAACAGGTGCTTAGTTCCATCCTGATTCAAGAAAGCACTTAAGTGTGTACTTAACTTTACGTTAAAGCTCAAGGTAAGCATGTGCTTAAATTCTTTCCTCAACAGTCATGCTTTCCTGAAGTGGGGCCAAAATAAGTGTGTATTTAGAAATCCTGTCAGATTATTAATAATGATGATGTTCAACATTTATAGATCTCAAGTTACTTTACAAAAGTGGCTAGAATAAGTCAATAATTAATTTTAAAAACATGTACATGATAGTGTCAGAGCAATAGTTTATTTTTAATTTTTACATATATTTTTAAATTTTACAATGTAAAAACAGCTTGTTCATACTCCCCCCCCCCCCCCCCCCCC